CGATTTTTCGACTATGCAAAACGTCATGGAAATATCATACACTGTAGTTTTACAAAGGATAGTGGATAGTATGGTACTTACGTCCAGGTAGGATTACCTCAGCTGCATGGCCTAACCCAGCGTTTTGTAATGCCAGATGAAGTTCATCTACCTGCTCACTAGGTCGAACCCTCCGTCTCCAGTCACGTAGCATCTCACCAAAGCCTGATCTTGAGACACAATCAAATGACGAGTCTTGGCGGTTGAGGTATTTCTCTACAGCTGAATAAGAGAAGCCAAGCTGGTATCCAAGGGACTTTAAGTCCTTGAGTGAAGGGATCACATCTATCAGAATCTCGAGAAGATTGTTGGATACAAACTGCAATCGACCCTTCCTGCAGAAAAGTAAATTCATAACATTCGGCCGGAAATCATATTTGAAGGTATCGAAATGTATAATTGTGCCATTATGTCCATCTGTTACTCATTATATTGAAACTAATTGAAAAATTTAAATAAATAAAAATAATACTAGTTGATGGATTGTTTGTATATATTTCTTTGTGAAATATTGACAGGAATCCTTCTTCTTGGATAAACATCGTCGATGTATTAAGCGCTATATAAACGCGCAGTATTATTATTATTAACAGTTTATTTTCGACCGTTAGCCATACTAAATACAGGAATGAAACATCCAGTGATGGGTACTCGTTAGGAATGATAAATGCCTGGTCACATGTCCGTTGTCATAAATCGTAATGAATATGTTCCATGCCATGATTTTGATTCAAAGATTAAAATGTTTTTTTTTATATGATGTAAATGTATTATATTTCACATTATATTTATTATTGCAAGAATGATCAATACATTCATGGGTGAGGATATTCGTTTACTTACGAATCTGTGTGATCGACTACATAATCCGGTTCATCTGCATCAAAAGCAATAAAGATATAAAACATGACTAAAGCGTTTTTTTTTCTTTCTTCTTCAGTATACTGAATTGCTATGTATTTGAAAATAAAGGATGTGTATAGATCAGAGAGAGAATAATCACAACTCAACATAAGGTTTGAAGAGTGTCACAAATAAAATATGCCCGTTTCAGATTGGGGGGGGGGGGTACGTGAAGAAACATAATGTGTTATAAACAGATTTATATTTTTCGAACAGGTTACCCCCACAACTAATTTTTGACATCTTGAACTAGGAAAGTGTTTTGCATCATAATTCTTCATCTCTTTCCACTTAGATCCTCACAAAAGGGCATTTAGTATGCGCTAACTTTAAACATACACCTGACACAAATGTTTTGAACCTCATTCTAGTAAATGTTATTGAATGAGGAAAACAAAAGATACATTGAAGTTACAGAAAATACCCTAAAAATCCTCGTAGAGGTAGCTTCATTTTCTTACATAAAAGTACTACTGTAGATAGCTACATGAATGACTTATGTACAGTATTTGAGGTCACTTGTTACATGAATTATTTACATTAGGTCTTTGAATTACTTGGCTACATATGATGAAGTAAAATACACAAACTCTCCCACTTCCTGATAATATAGGCTTACCCTCTATTGAAATGATATAGTCTCTTTCTGCACATTTTGCTGACCCTTGTAGTATGTCGATATGGACGTTCTTCTTTCCTTTCTCTTCAGGAGAGAACTGAGTCTCGAAATTTAGACGGTCGCACTTTCCACTTAGTATACTCTTGATGTGTACCTTGGTTCGAATTGCAGGGAAATAATAAAAATGATAGTAATTATAATATTAACAACAAACACAACAACAACAATACTTATATAATAATAATGAAGATGAAAATAAACATGATAAAATGTATATTATGATAATAAATTAAATAAATTATCCAGTTTAACACCAACAGGTACAAGAATAACAAGAATACAAATTCAGCTTCTAAAATTTACATCTCCAAATTCCACAATTATTCTTAAACAATCACGCATATTTACCATTCTTTTGCTACTTTTCGCCCCGTCGTTGAACATAATCTTTAGACCCTTTGCTGTTGAATCTATGGGGAATGTGAGTTCCTGGAGGACTTTGCAGTAGGGTACAGAAGAACTCTTCTCTTTCCTAGTTATATCCTGGAATCGGACAACAACAAAATAATCAAATCTTGATATTGCAAAATTAATAAATTACATTCAGATGGTGAACTTCCACTATTGTAACCCTTTAAAATATAGGTTTATGAACAGCGATTATTTTCATCTAACAATTTAATGGTAGAAATAAAATAATTGATAAAAGGTCAGATCACTTTTTCTCTATCCCCTTTCTCGCTTTTTATCCTATCCTCTTTCCCGCCTCTTTTTTGTTATCCATCCCATTCTAATTCTCCCTCCTCACTTTTCCCCCTTCCCAAGACTCATCAATTTCTCTCCATCCCCTTCCTTGCTTTTTTTTAAAAATCATGCGCTAATTATTTAGTCAGAAAGAAATTCTTTGCAGACGTTACTTGGTAAATTTTAAAGTCTTACCATAGGCCTTTCATAAGTGAAATAACCCGAAGGGTTTCCTTTTTACTAGTTATATTATTAAATGGTGTCCGCTAAAGATGGTGTTGGTTATTACGATATAAATACCTTTATGTAGCTCTTGTATGGATGAATTATGTACACATGTAGCGCTGATTTCTCTTCAGGAGTCATGAAGAGACGTTTAAAGACTACACATCTCAACTGGAGTCCTTGAAGATCGGTCGATGACAGAGCACAGACTTGAAGATGACGTGTACGAAACTTGATCTTATCTTTTGAAAGGTGTGACGGGCCCGGAGTAACGTTCCTACGACCGAATGCTCCTTTGAATTGAGAGAATTAATAAGAAAAATTAACAATTAAACTATCTTACTCACTGATAATATATGATTTTACAATATTGATCATTAATTAGTAGAGTGAGAATTGATTTCGATTCAGCTCATGTTCTGATATTTGACTTTGATTTATTTTTTGTTCAGCGAGTTGATTCAAATGACATAATGGTATTTTTTGTTTATTATTGAGAAATCATTCCATAATTCAGATTCAGATTCAGATTTTATTTCCGTTTCAAAACAAACAAAATATAAACAGACACAATATAATACAGTCAAATATAATATAAACAAAGTAAATTCAGTATTATGTAGAACAAAATTTAGTTGATAAGAAATATTGGGAAAAAACAGTACTGAACAATAGAAAAAAAAAAGACCTTGATGAAGTAATTCAAAACGGAGGGGCTTGCTAAAAAAGCAGAGCTTGTATGAGGCAAGCCCCTGACTTAGTTACATGGATACGCTTAAATAATTATGGTCGAAAGCTAATACCAGAAAAACACACTAAAAGGGAATACAAAAAAAAGAAAAAGTAAAAGTAAAAATAAAAGTAAGATAAATATAGTAACAGAGAGAGAGAGAGAAAGGGGAGAGAGCAAGAGAGAAATAGAGAGCGAGAGAAAGGCAGGAAGAAGGAGATGGGGACAGGAGGCAGGTACACCACCAGGTCGTTAGGCTTGTTTAGATTATTCTTAAAAAAGAAACAAAAAAGGAGGAAAGGAGGAATAACAAAAGGAAAGATTTGTTTTATCTTTCCGTAGGTTTAGATTTTTGAGCTTGGCTTGTTGGTGGGGAGTATTGGCTGATTAATAACTCTCATCAGTTTATGATTCTCAAAATTGATCCTCATGAAAAGAAGACTATAATTGTATATGTGATCTAAAATCAATTGTTCACCTCGTTTGTCAAATTGTTTCACATTTCAAGTGATGATGTTTTATTTAGCAGAACAAGAACACGAATATTTACCTGGTCCAGTTCTTGTGTACAAGATAACAGAAGAGTCGTCTTTACGTGCATGGTGATTGCAGTGTGGTAATACCACAGTGGCAGGCTTGAGCAGTTCTTGTGTCAGAGAACTTTCTATGACTGGAGTAATGACTACCTCACCCTCCCGTACAGGAAGCCTAGGAGTATCATGAGTTGGGACGCGAAGAGTTACAACTGATCTCATCCCTTTAGGTATAGCTCCTTCAGGGATAGATACGGCAATACCAAGTTCATCAAGGGTCAGTTTGCCACCCGTGTGATCAATGATGCCATGCGAGATGAAAGGCTTATAGCTCGGTTGGCAAGTCATGGCTTAGGATGATAAGAAGGAAACAAGTGATCAATAATCCCCTTATGAAACATGATTCAAATATAGTGCAGTTTATTTATATTTTTGGCAAAACTTCCGAGATGTTTCTGAAAATATAAACAAGTGGATTTAGTGGAATAACGTGATTCTGAGGTCTGAACGATAACTGTTAAACGGATTATTCCCTTTCAATTTCGGGTTTACTCATCTATCAACACGGTTCATGATTACTATTTCATAAAAAGAAGTTAAAAGTGCACAACCTCCTGAAGAAGGCATGTTGATTTCTTTTATAGTCAGGCAATCTTTTTTTATATTTATTCATTCATTTATTGCAACCATGAGTTGGATTTCATACAATAAAAAGGCAGGCATAAATGGTTCACAATATAGTTATATATATATATATATATCTTAAAGACCGTCAACACTACTGGGCCAGAAGGGATTAGACCACACAACAAGGTCACTGACAGGTGGCTATCTCATTAACTCAGCTCTCAACTAACATAAGAAAAAGAGGATCATGGGGACCAACAGGCACCGATTGGGGAAGTTTTCTATATAGAGGGAGCAAGTAGCTACAAGTAGGACAGTGGGGCTTTAAGTCAATATGATGAATCTGTCAAAAAAAAGAATTCTTCCAATCAACAAGTAGGTCTTCACCAGTTAATGTAATGTGAAACACTGGAGTTGTGAAATGGCATTACCTTCTACTATCTTGACTGCTGCATCGTTGAAACGGAAAGCCTGAGCAACTTCCAGAAGCCTCTCCCTAGTCCCACCTTGGTGTGCCCATTCTTTAAGTATCTTCAGAGTACTACGGCCAATCATGTGAGGCGGGAAGGTCAAACATGTGTTCATGATCTGCAAGACGCCAGAAGGTTTAACACTCAGACGATGACACAAGTCCAGTAGATCTGCCTTGGATCCAATGGCTTTTGAGATTTCTTCACGGCCTGTGGACACTTACAAAAATGCATATGTCAATATGAAGGAAATACTCAGGTCAATGGAAATAGCATAATGATGGTGATGAATGAGGACTTTGACGGCGTCTAAAATAACGGAATAAACTGTAAAACATTGATTACCTCAAGGACAAGTAAAGAAACCGAAAATAGTTTCCATGATTTATAAATACATTCTAATACCAATTTTTACCTACTGAAAATTTTCTGTACTTCTCTACTTCCTATTGATTTAACGCAAATAAATGAAGTGTGAAAAAAATAATTAAATATACAAGTTTGAACTTGAAACTTTTCGTTTTAAGGGTAAACAGTATATCTCCTTATCAACACGATTACGCTTGAACTCAGCCTTGTGATTCCAACGAACCTTTTTTGACATCTGGGATGTTAAACTCAGAGAGAAGTTTAACAAAATTATCTTTTTTGTCTTCCTCCTTCAAACCGTTCAACCAACTGTCTACGACCTGTCGTGCGAACTGATGTACTGATGGACTGGGTAGATCGATGAATCCAACAATGAGGTCTTCATTTACACGTAGGGCTTTTCCAAGTGAACATGCTAATGACAGACATTTAACTGGTAGAGCGACGCTACAAAGCTCTTCTGTGTTTGGTGCACCCCCACATTGGTCAAGGTCATCATTATTTCCCTCTCGCTCTACATCAAAATCAAACGTTGAAAAATCATCTAAAAAGTGCGTCAAGTTTCTAAACTCAAAATTGATATTTGATATTGATTCTTTCTATATTCTAATATTTATCATGCCAATTGGAATTGTATTATACAAAGGGTATGAATAAAATACTATCATTATCCCAATCGTATGGTGCTATTATTCTACCTGTATCTGATGTTGTAATGATATCCAAATCTTCAGGCTCTATAACAGGTTCGTTTGCTTTGGCTCTTATCTCGGGAGTCGCCGAAGACATCATACGCAAGGTTTCGTCTGAAAGAAAAAATAAATAAATATTAAATAGCATGTGTGTCATATCATGGCAGTCATGACTGATGAGGCTTTTTTTTAAAGTTGTCTGTGTACTAAAGAAGTTTTCTTCTACTTACTATGTGTTGATTGTAGAGATGGCTCCGCCTGATCTCGTCTTATCTCGTGAGACAAGTTTTTTGACACATAGAAATGACTGCTATGAATGACATTATAAGCCCTATACTAATAGTCAACCTGAAGCTTCAAAACAATTCTTATTACCACTAAACATTTCAATCGTATAATTCCATTGAACACAAAGTTCAGTTAAGATATCTGTTCGTTTCTACTTTTGAACAAAATGACCAAATATAAAATATACAACATATACAAGTCATAGAGCTATTATTTATTAAAAATGAAGGAGAATAATTGCCGTTATTCCCAGTCGTAGATGCCAAGGAGACAGATTTCCAAATGCACTTTAACGTCTCGGTCGCTTCAAGATCTGATCTTTGGGATGCCTTCCACGAGCAGAGCATTTGGATGTTAGCGTCTTTGCGATTCTGCAATGTCTTGTGTTTGATGTTCTCAAGTTTATTCCGACTAAATCCAAGCTTTGCGCCAATCTCCATGAAGTCCTTCGACTTGATTTGTCGAGCCAATGTAAGCAAGTATTGGTCAGAAATGTCACTAAATATATTGAGAAGAAAGGATGTTTATTATACTAGAATCAATTTTTTTTTTTTTTTTTTTTAAAACTTCTGGTCAGTGAACTGCTTTCCCAAAGAAGCTGTAATCCAGTCAATCGGATTTTTGTCATGCAGTAGGATAGATCGATTGCCTCGACCAGTAATAAGTATACACGACTTGTATAAACAAATTAAGTCATGCATTATTGAAAATCAAATCAATGAGACACGTAATCCGCTTGACACGCGGTCCGAAAGTATACCTTTATTTTGCGTTCTTTTGTGTTAACCTTTTAAATACACCTACTACATTTATTTTACTAAAAGTATATTTACTTTGCTACTGGTGACAGCTTAAAAGATACATTAGTTTCCTATTTCAAGCTCAAGCTCTCACACATTTGTTTGGTTATTGTTTCGGCTGTTATTAATACCAGCCAATTATCAGGGTGGACTATCTCTTTGATAATCTAGTATCCTCTTGATGTTCTGACTTTTGGCGCTGCGACATTTGCTCTGGGTTTATTTCGTGAAAAAACACACACGGTTAGAGTTTTCAGTTAGGGTTTCAGTAAGGTTGAAGGTTAGATTTACGGTAAGGGTTAGTGGCCAAAAAAGATTCTTACCCGGTTGGAGTAGCATCTGAAGTACGGTGACCAAACGAAAAGGACATCAGTGATGCACATACAAAACAAAAATGAAATATAGTTTGATTCGATTCTTCTGCTAAGCACAAATGAATCAATGACAAACTATACAAATGATATTTGAAAACATAATTTTGAATATGGTTTTTCACAATGTCCTCTTTCCATAATTGGCAAATGTAATTTAGAAAAAATAAAATCTTCGCACTCTATGGTTTTTACTATTATTATTACTATTTCTATCATTATCATTACTCTTTTTTGTTGTTATTATTATCATCATCATTTTAAATATGTAAATATCATTATTCATTGCTATGGTTGTTGTTATTTTTTGTTGATATCATTATTAATTATAACCATTATAATCGTGTTTTTTCCTTTTTGTTACATTATGTTGTTTAAAGTCGTTTTTTCTTCTGCTTTTATAATACGTTGCAGTTCTTTAAAAGAAAATCATTTTTTTTCTCACAAAGGTTCATCTTAAGTGAGATAGAGATCGCGCCTTTTCATCCATTGCTCCTTCTTTGTGGAACTTGTTTCTATCCTTTCTTCATCTCGCAGAAGTGTAATATTATTATTTTTGTATAGGAGTCTGCGCCCTTTGATGTTGTTATACAGAAACATTTTACTCCACACTAATGATGACAATGATCATCATTGGCGTCAAAGGAGGTTCCCCACATAGCAGCAATAGAGGCATGCATAACTAAATCAAAAGATTAGTACAGATCTATACACAGCTTAGGTACTATATGTTGTGAGTCACCAGGGATTATGTTAATTAATGCTTAAACGTGTTAAGAATCTGCTGATAAATCTAAATGAGTATTAAACAGTAAACCTGTTATTTTCGTATTCTCTGCCTCTGTTTCTTCAGACTTCAAGTGTGAAAGAAGCACTTCCTTCACATTTTGATGTGGTAGTTGTCTCTGTTTCCATGTTATCAACATTTCGAAGATGGCTCCTTGTCTATCTTTGAGATTCTTATACTCTATTGCATCAAGTTGGTGTATTTGGAAACCAAGTGCAACTCCCAGGTCATAAAAGTCGTCTATCGAAAGCTTTTCGGCGATTTTCAGAACATCTACATCAGGGAGATCATCTCGTGAAGTTCCTTCGATGTCTCTGTAAAACAAATACATGTAAGTATTTCTTCATAATATAAACTATGCATTTCCTGCATAGTTAGGCCCCATAAGATGTTAATAATCTTTCAAATTCCATTCTAATTTCGTAAACAAGGAGAAGAATTTTTTTCTCCAAGAATATGAATACCTTGTATTTCAACCATTACACTGTACTCCAATTGATATCTTTAAAAATAAAATCATAATTCACCTTAGTCGAACATAAATTTATTTTTAAAACATGTGAATAGATTGATAACGACATGCTTACCGGATAACTGAAGTAAATTCAGGAAGCTTGATGACATCTGCAACCATGTGTACGATGATAAAAAATTTGTAAAAGAAAATGTAAAAGCATTAAGACATTTAAAAAAATCATTATAAGAAGAAAGAGAGTTATAGTCCCAAGTAAATGTCCGGGGGAAAAACGATTCCAATGATTGCAAATTATATATAGATATCAGTGAATATGTAATGTTTACCAATTAATTACTAATAAGTAAAACAAATTGTAAAATGTCCTACGCAGGTATTTCTATATATGAAATTGATAATTATGGTCCTTTTACTGAGTAATAATATCCTGTAAAGTCAAGTTTAATAATAAAGGTAACGGCAAGAGCTAAGATAGAAAGGAAAAATAACACAGAAGAAAATGACGTTCATTGTATAATCATAGGTCGTCAAAAAAGGGGGAAATACTGGCTGGAATGGATTAAAGATTGTAGACAAACCTTCGTATCTAATGAGGAATGCCATTGATCGAGATACCCCTAGTTTTCCAGACTGTGTAAGTGTGATGGTTATTTCGTTGAATGTAGTATCGTCCTCAGTCGGGGGCACTAATAAGACTACAATATTTCTCATTCGGTTGTGAATTTCCTTTAGAGAGAGCAGCTAAAGGACAAAAAAAGGTAGAATTAGAGTATAAAGAAACAAACGTCTTTTTTAACGGAAAGAAACCCCGAAAAGTCACGAGAAAAGAGGTTTCGTATCCAAATTTGCGATTTCATGTTATTATTTATTTCTCCCCTATCACCGTCCCCCCCCCCCCCCCGCTCCCCTTCCCCTCCCGAGAATTATAAATTGACAATATTGGCCCCTGTTACAGGCAACACAGTGGTTATTATTTCATTATTATCATTAAACTGTATACTAGAGTTTATGGAACGCTGAAATGTGGAAAATCTTTCCAAGGGAGACCTGTTTCTCCCCCTGATACAACACACTTGGAGACACCATACAAAACAATGAATTGCTAATTTCAGCCAGCTCGCTTAGCCGTAATTTATATGCTGCGCCAGAACCCTACTGTTAAACAAAAGCATAAAAGCCGAGTAAAGAAGATCGAGGTTGGTTCTATACATTCTACCTGTACATAAACTTGATTTAAGTTTATTGTGGTACTGTGATGGGACCTAACACTTATATTGAACCAACCCTAACGTTTACCGTAAATATAACCTAAAACCATACTGCAACCCTATAACTCAAAACTCTAACTTTTTCTTTTTTCACGAATTAAAACAAGAGCAAATGTCGCATTACTAAAAGTCAAAACATCAAGCAAGCAGATTATCAAAACAAAATCGATCCTGATAATGAGCTGGTATTAATAAATGCCGAACCATTTGAAAAACACACATTTTAGTGAAAGTTTGAGAGGTATCCGATTAACAATAGGAAATTATGATTTTGTGAAGTATTTCATCAGTGATACACCAATTGGCAACACTATGACGTATCTTGCGAGGTTCCCTCCAGTTTGCTCTGTACAGAAAATTGCATAATCTTTTATTTTCTTACCGATTGATAAGGGAGTAGATTTGTTTCATACACGGAGTGTATAGAAACATATTTGAAATAATTGTATTTAGGGTGCACATATGTTTACAATTGTATGTAAGAAAAATAGAAAGTTCTGATTTTGTTTTTGATACAGGGCAAATGAGAATTGATCTCGCAAGATACGTCACTTATGCCTCAGTCACACCTTTGCGTATTTGGCTTGCGTATTGCT